GATTCTGACCTTTTTGATTATTTTAGGTTGACAGTCATCTGTCCCAGCTGGAAAGAGACATGGAATCATATGACAATTGTGATGTCACAACCCATGTGCAGGAGGACAGAGCCTCCTTTCCCTGAGACACCCAGAGTCTCCAGCCAGCCCAGGCCCTGCCTAACCCACACTGGGTGAGACTCACAGGCATCCACCTGTCCTAGGTCCCCAAAACTTCCCTCACATTTGACAAACGTGTGGGAAACCTGAGGACAAAAATCAGTCCCTTTGTTTTGGGTATCTCTCACTTCACATCATCGGGAATTATGACAGCAATGAGCATGAAGGTGTTTTCGTCCCAGCCTTGTTTGAAAATGAACAAACGTGCAACAGTGGAGCCTGGTTCACTGATGTGTGGTGGAAATGGATGGAAGCCCTTAACAACAATGTCATGATGCATATGTGATGATACACAAAGGGTGTGGTGATCCATGTAGCTGCCTGAGGCATGTGCCACCATGCCCAGCTAATTTTTTCTCTCTGTATATATTTTTAGTTGTCCAGATCATTTCTTTCTATTTTTTAGTAGAGATGGGGTCTCACTCTTGTCCAGGCTGGTCTCGACTCCTGACCTTGAGCCATCCACCCGCCTCGGCCTCCCAGAGTGCTAGGATTACAGGCGTGAGTCACCGTGCCAGCCACCTCTTCTAAATTATCAGGCTCGGACAGTCACTCACAGGAATGAGCCAGCAGTCATGTCCCACTCCACTTCTTGATACTTTAGCTAAATAATAATCTCTTGAAACTGCTTGTTGCATGGACTCTAGACTTAACAGATACCACAAGTAGCTATAAATCAAAAATGCTGCATCCTCAACACCATAACTAATAACATAGAATTCAACAATGTACAGCCAATCACTAATCAATGCTTGGGTGAACCAATGAGAATTCTTCATGAACTTTTTATTGGCCCAATCCTTTTCTCCTTTTTGCCTTTAAAAACACGCTTGTGCCGCTCATGCCTGTAATCTTAGCACTCTGGGAGGCCGAAGCGGGAGGATCGTTTCAGCTCAGGAGTTCGAGACCAGCCTGAGCAAGAGCGAGACCTCGTCTCTACTAAAAAGAATAGAAAGAAATTAGCTGGACAACTAAAAATATATATTAAAAAATTAGCTGGACATGGAGGCGTGTGTCTGTAGTCCCAGCTACTCGGGAGGCTGAGGCAGGAGGATCGCTCGAGCCCAGGAGTTTGAGGTTGCTGTCAGCTAGGCTGATGCCACGGCACTCTAGCCCGGGCAACACAGTGAGACTCTGTCTCAAAAAAAAAAAAAAAAACCATGCTTGTAATAAAGAACAAGTGGAGCTCACATCCAGAGTTACTTGGGTCTGAGTCTTCCAGGCAGCTATCTGCAACTTGGCTCAAGTAAACTCTTTGAAAATATATTTTGTGCCTTAATTTCCTTCTTTAGGTTGACAAATTTATAAAGTGATAGCACTTGAGAACAAAACCAAGAATGACATTATCAGCAACATCAAAAAATAAACTTGAAACAACTTGAGTCCTAAAATCAGTGGAATGGGGGGGTAAACTGGGGAACCAAAAGACTGAAACAGCAGCATGTGTGCCACAGAATGTGGCACAAAATCCAGAGGAAAAAATTTAGGAACAATGTAAATAGTGTATTAATAGTAACATTAAGTTACTAAAAACTCAGAAGAGGCCAAAATAAGGTTATTCACATAATTTTATATAAGAAAACATATCGTATTTAAAGAAGCCAGCAAAATCACTCAAACTCAGTATTTATTAATAAAAGGAAATTCTAAGGGGAAAAAATTCAAACCATAAGTGTTTTTCCTCTGCTCTCATACCACAACCATCAACACAGAAGATTTCTCTAACCAAAGTGAGGGGATTCCTCCTTATCAATAAGAAAGCAGTCAATTTTGCAGAAGACACCTGCTGGGTGTCAAACCCAGTTCAATTCTAACAGTATCCATCTGGAGATGGGGATGGGGCACAGGGCGGGCATTCATGTCCTTGCCAGACTCACCGCCTTCCAAAGCTCCCCAAACCAAATCCTTTCGGGTTTTTAGGGAAGCTTCACTTCATTCACATAATTAATTAAACCATAGGTAATTGGTAATCAACTTAATCTTAAGCCCCTCTCTCTACCCTAGAGGTTGGGGGCAGGAATGAAAATTCCATTCCTCTGGGCATGTAGCTGGTTCCCTTGGCAACCAGCCTCCAATCCAGAGGCTTCTATGGGCTTTCCAAAAATCCCCTTATTAACATAAGCTCAAGTGCTTTAAAGAGCCTGTTGTAAATATTAATATCAATAGACTATCTTTCACCTTTACTGATCAGGAGCTGCCTCATAAACCAAGGATAAAAGACCAAATAATCTAACAAAGGATATTCTTTCAGGGGTGAAGAACCTGTGGTCTTAGGGCCACACATGTGGCCGTCTAGCTCCTTAAGTGTGGACTTTTGACTGGATCCAAATTTTACAGAACAAATCTTTTTATTAAAAGTGGTACAGCAGAGAAAGATAAAGCTTCTTGCCCTCTTTGGTGCTTAAAAAAAAAATTGAAATCAGAAGGCCACAGGTTCCCCACCCCTGCAAGGAAATAACAAAGCTTATAGGAGGAGCTGAGAGCCAGGAATCATGGGAAAAAACCCAAAATATATCTATCACAACATCACAGAAATTTAAGGCACTAAAATGTCATACCTCAACAGGAGAAGCAAAAGTAGCTATCCCTTTCAGATAATAAACAGGTCACTGAATTATTATTTGCATGATAACAAATCATTTAGTAAATTCATTTAGGAGTTGCCAAATCCTATTTCATAGGATTTGTTATTAAACTCCAACTTCCAGACAGCAGGATACAAAACAGAGTTATCCACTGTCACAAATTCTCCATCCTGCAAAAAGAGAGGAATAGATATTTTGGTGAATCTTTGTTATTCACCAATTTTTCTAGCTTACTTTCCTGTGGAAATGCATTTATTTTTCTGCAACCAAAATGGAAGAAAGATTTTTTTCTATATCCTTTCCCAGGTAACGTTCCCAAAGCTAAGCTCTGGAATTCCAAAATTACCTCAAAATAAAGAACAGAACTGAGAAACTCACTACACTCACTGTGAGAGAAAAAATGGTAAATAAGCATTTTTTTTCTTAAAGCCAGTCAAATTTAGCAGTGGGGGGATTGCATACCAACTTTAGTGACACTAATGTTAATAAGTTCTGATAACCCACTACCATCGGACCAGCCAATAAGAATTGTTAACAAGTGGAATATATGACCAGAATTTTATTTGAAATCTATGTTTTTCATGCCTCTTTGAAAATATTTCCTTATCTTTAAACCTCTACTGCTAAAGTACATTTTATAGTTAAAGAAAAACTGAAGCTGAAATAAGTCAACAAATGTTTTCTCGGTGACAAACCCAGGCGGGGCAGTGCTGACAAAAAAAAAGACGTGTGACTCAAGTGTCAAGTCAGGCCATCCTATCACTTGGCAAATCTGCCCACCCCCATCCTGCTAATTGAAGTACTAGATGATCCTTCTCCCAGGAGACACTGCACTGTGCCCCGCTTTGTGCCTGAAATGCATTTTGCTTTGCAGGTCCTTGCACCACCTCACTGGGGTCTGTTTTCTTTATCCTTTGAGGTAGTTCTCACAAGTGTGAGAAAATCCAGAGAGCAGGAATCATTTTTGTCTTTTTTCTTCAATACCAGCATCCAATTGGCATATCTCCAAGAAATGAAAACTGGGTTTTAAGGCAGAAAATCTTAATGTCTCAGGATGTGAGCTTTTTAGATGAAGGATACACCAGGAGGAACCTCTCAGCCTCAGACATCCTGATGCTCTCCTGACTGGCTCCAGCCCAAGACTTCAGGCTGTTCTCTTGGAGAAGACCCAGGGGCTGGTATCAACTAGACACTTGAACGGCATGGCCACTGTGGGCATTCTGGGTCATCCTCAGACAGCTGTGAAACCCAGGACTGGGAAAAGACAGGACAGTGGCAGAGGACATTTCACTCTATAACATTTCTAAAGAGAAACCTCAATGCAAAGACATTATGGTAAGATGCCTGTGCCTAGAGAAGATAAAAAGAGAGGCACAAAGAATTGTTAAAGCAGAGTATCAAAAGGGGCCCACCTACTGCTCTGTGAAAAATGATAAACAATTAAAATACTCTCTCTTTCAAAAATAAAGGACAAATAGTGGATAATGTGAATTGGTGAGTGGAAGTTCATATTTGGGAATGTGGGGGGAAAACTAGAAATTTAGGATTTTCCTAGGAGAGTTATGCTGGGGGAACAGGGTGGTTGATTTGGGATTCTGCTTGTCATACATTTGGAAAATGCAGGGAGAAACAAGTTCTTCTGTGGAGTGTTAAAATAAATAAATAGTTGGCAATTAGACTAAACTAAGTCTTCTGCCCTGACTTCCTACCTAAGGATACTGAAATCTAACTCAAAACAGTTTTTGTAAATTACTAACCTAGGGAGAAACAAAATTTATGCTGAACCAACTACAAACTACCAATTAACCTCTGCTAACATAACCAGAAGTAGCCACCGTAATAATCCAAAAAAGTTGGCTCCAGAACTATAACCAATCAATTATTGAATTTGGTTTGTTTCCTCATGTACCCTATAAAAGCCTTTCCTTCAAGCCTCTCCTGTGGACCCCCAAACACAAGCCATGCCTGGAGCCTTCCTGATTCATAAATCGCTGTTTGCTCTAATAAACTTTTTAATGTTTTAACGTTGCCCTAGTTTATCTTTAACAAGAGAAAGGACAGACTGGGGACCCCATGGACACCGCCACTGAGTCGAAATTCTCCGCTGATGACCCTCCGGTCTTTACCTAAGCACAACCTGGGAGACACGCGGGGCTGCGGGTGCAGAGCTGCCCAGAGAGGGCTTCCGGCAGTGTGAAGTCACGTGTGGATGGGACAGGATTCCCTGAGATTCTGGCTGCTGTTCTAGCCCCCAACCTGTGGCCAGACGCGTCCGAGGGCCGAGCTGCACCAGCGGGGATTCGTGTCCGCAGACTCCAAAGCTGACGCGGGGAGACTTGGGACCCGCCACAACCGGTTGTGGCCGGTTCCAACCCCCCAGGACAGCCAGCCCCACATACTAACCAGTTTTCCGCTTCCGTGTTGTCCCAGCATTCTCCTTACAGATCTTGCAGTACCTGCAGGTCACAGGGCGACAGAGGCTGCGGCAGAGACACTTGGACTTTCAAAAGCACAGGAGAAGCAGCAGTGAACACGGATTGAACTTAAGGGGCTGATGCAAGAGACAAAGACCCTGCCACATTGAAGAAGCTGCCCCTTCCTCTCCCAATGCCAGCCTGATTGGACAGTTCTCACCCCAGCACTCCTGATTGGATAGGGCCCCAGGCCCTTCCCCTTAATCTCCTGAGTGACAGATGATGGTATCCCACATATTCATAGCTGAAAGCAGGGTTTCTCTCCCTACAGGGACCTGGCATTACCTGGAGGGCATTTGCATTTAGCCTTGTATATAATGTTATATCTATTATAAATTATATATGTAATATTCAAAATTGGAAACCATAACGATAAATATTTTAAAATTTAAGATTTTAGGCGAGGCATAATGATTCATGTCTGTAATCCTAGCGCTTTGGGAGGCCAAAGAAAGAGGATCACCTGAGGCCAGGAGTTTGAGATCCCATCTCTACAAAAAAATTTTTAAAAAAGCAAGGTGTGGTGGTGCATGCCTATAGTCTTAGCTACTCAGGACACTGAGGAAGGAAAATCACTTAAGCCTAGGGGTTAGAGGCTGTAGTGAGCTATGAGGAGGCCACTGCACTCCAGTTTGGGAAACAGAGCAAGACCCTGTCTATTAAATACATAAATAAATAAATAAATAAATAAAATAATTCAGATTTTATAAACTTCATGTCCTCTGCTTTTTTTAGAAGGCAGCCTCAGTTTGGAAAAGGGTGGCAATCCTCTCAGACAGCAATGCCTACTAGAACTAAAGGTAGGAGCCACGTGTGTCATTTTAAATTTTCTAGTAGCAACATAAAAGAAAAAAAAACCCAAACACGTGAAAATGATTGTAATAATTTATTAACTCAATATACTGAAAAATTATTTCAATATGTGATCAATATTATATTATTAATGAAGTAATTTTGGTACTAAATCATTCAAAGCCACTCTGTATTTTAAGCTTCCTGAACATTCCAATTAAGATAACACATTTGGATGCATATGTCTGATTTTCCCACTTTTGTTAATATTAAGATTGATCAGTGAGTCCAAGGAATATCTGCCTATTTCTTTCAAATAATTGCTTATTATTTATTGATTAGTATTTTTCTAACAACTTATTTTACTGAGGGTTGCAAAATAGCATTTTTCTAATTCTATTATGTTCTTTGCATGTAATATTTCTTATTCTTCTATTAAGAATTCCATTTTCTCATGAGCTCTTCATTACATTCAAAACTAACCTATAAGGAAAGGGAAGATAAAAGATTGATTCTTTTTTTATCCATTGTCATAACAATGATGATGTGGCCCCAGCGAACAAAGAAAACATAAACGACATTTTTCCTAACATTATTTTTTGTGTATTTGATAGGACTCCATACACTGCAGTATGTATTTCTTTTTTTAGTTCAAATTCTCCCATCTTAGGCCACTGAGTGACCCTTCCCATTGCCTCCTGTGTCCTTGTGCCATGAGATCATATGTTTTGAGAGCTTTCTTATTTTCCGGAACAAATGCACATGCATGCTTTTCTTTGTCTTTTATATAAATTGTAAGTACATGTCCCATTTGGCATATTCCTTTTTATTTGACTTACGGTGTTTCCTACCATGCACAATATCCTGGTTTTATACTGTGCACTCTATCGATCTTTTCTTTTATTAACATTTCTTGATTTGAGTTACAGGCCAGATTTATTCTCACGGCTTTTAGAAATATTTACTAATGTTTTCTTCTATAATACTATTTATATGTTTTCAATTTTTTTACCATTTATATTTCTTATTTGTCTTTATGTTACTCTAGCACATTAAAAGTAAATCAATTTTCATTTTTCTGTAGGAATATCCAGATCTCAAACAATAAGTATTGATAAAGGCTCCTCCTCTGTAGTTTTTATTATGTAACTTCCTTTATGCAGTTTGATGGATTTCTGAATTTTCTGCTATCCCAGTCTCCTTGCCTATTTTTGCATCAACACCACATTGCTTTAATTATAGAATGCTTAAAGCATTTCAATGTCATGTAAGACCAGAAACCCTCATTGTGTTTGTTTCTTAGGGATTTTGGCTGTCCCCATGTTTGTTTTTCCATATGTAATTTGCAAACTCATTGTTTTCTTCACAGAAACTGACAGAATCTATTATGAGATCAAATACAATGTTGAAGATAGCTTAAGCATAAATGATTTATTTATATAATTGAGTTTTTCTATCCAAGAACAACATGTAACTTTCCATTCGTTTAAGTCTTCAAACATATCTTAGGAATTCTTTATTATTTTGCTCATGCAGACTGCAAATTTTTCATTAGATTTGTTGCTAGGTCATTTTGTTTTACATTTTAAAATTCACTTTTTCAGTACAAAAACAATTTATTTAACCAAAATGTTTGTACCCCCATAATATTCTGAAATAAAATTTAAAAAGAATAATAACCTATACCCTAATTAAGAAATTAAGGTCAGCTGGGCGTGGTGGCTCATGCCTGTAATCCTAGCACTCTGGGAGGCCGAGGTGGGAGGATTGCTTGAGGTCAGTAATTCAAGATTAGCCTGAGCAAGAGCGAGACCCGTCTCCACTATAAATAGAAAGAAATTAGCCAAACAACTAAAAATAGAAAAATTGGCCGGGCACGGTGGCGTGTGCCTGTAGTCGGGAGGCTGAGGCAGGAGGATCGCTTGAGCCCAGGAGTTTGAGGTTGCTGTGAGCTAGGCTGATGCTACAGCACTCTAGCCCAGGCAAGAGAGTGAGACTCTGTCTCAAAAAAAAAAAAAAAAAACCATGCTTGTAATAAAGAA